AATGAGATATTTATCACACAAACTCGTAAAGAGTTTTTTCTCCAGTTAACTGTTGCCCTTCTACTTTTTACTACATTAGGTTTGTGCCAAGATTTAAAATTTTGTAATAATCAAAATTGTCCATTTAATTTTGCAGGTTCCTTTCTATTGCTAGCAGTGAAATCTTCCCTTACCATATATCCAAAAGCCATTGTCTTTCCTGCTCCTCTAAATTGTTTATGACATGATTTTTTGCATATATAGCTCAATGTATCCAACTCAAAGCTTCTCTTGGGGGCAGCTAGGTGGTGCAGTGGATAGAGCACAGGAGGACCTAAGTTCAAATCCAGCCTCAGACACTTGATACTTACTAGCTGTGGAACCCTGGGCAAGTCACTTAACTCCAAGAGCCTAACCACAAAGAGAAAAAAAAAACTTCTCTTGGCGTATGGCAAACCTAATTTCTTTTCTTTTTAATTATTAATTTATTTTAGGGGCAGCCAAGTGGTGCAGTGGATAGAGCACTGGCCTTGAAGTCAGGAGGACCTGAGTTCAAATCCAACCTCAGACCAAATACTTGACACTTACTAGCTGTGTAACCCTGGGCAAGTCACTTAACACCAACTGCCTTAAAAAAAAAAAGGAAAAGAAAAGAAAAAAATTTATTTAAAGTTCACTTTTATAAGATTGAGTTCTAAATTTCCTCCTTCCCTTCCACTTTCTCAAGACAGTATGCAATCTGATAGAGGCTATACATGTATAATCATTTTAAACATATTTCCACATTAGTCATGTTGTGAAAGAAGAATCAGAACAAAAGGGAAAAAGCCACAAGAAAGAAAACACAAAACAATTAAAAAAAGAGAAAACAGTATGCTTCAATCTGCATTCAGATTCCATACTTCTCAGGTTGTGGATAGCATTTTCCATCATGAGTCTTTTGGAATTGTCTTAGATCACTGCACTGCTGAGAAGAGCTAAGTTTATCAAAGTTGGTGATTGCACAATGTTGCTGTTAACTGTGTATAATGGTCTCCTGGTTTTGCTCACTTCACTCAGCATTAGTTCATGTAAGTCTTCCTAGGCCAAACCTAATTTCTAAAATGTTTTTTGTCTACTAGTGAGTTCTTCTCCCAGTAACTTAGGTGTTTAACTGTTTGTTACTTCATTCCCACCCTGCTGTACTCCTTTCACACTCTCCATCATGTCCCTAGGAACCTCATTATTCTACTCACATCAGCCCTGGTACCCACACATTTCTGCTCCTGGGGCCTCTGAATGGAGAGTGGAGAGCTCCTCCCAGGAGGGGATGTCCATCAATTGGGGAATGGCTGAAAAAATTGTGGTAAATGATTGTGATGGAATGTTATTGTGTTGTGAGAAATGATGGAAGTGGATGGTTTCAGAAAAACGTGGGAAGACTCATATGAACTTATGCAAAGTGAAATGAACAGAACTAGGAGAACACTGTACATAGTAACAGATCAACAAAATGATCCAGGACAATTCCAAGGGACTCATGATTGAAAATGTTATCTACCTCCACAGAGAAAACCGATCAACTCAGAGGGCAAATTAAAGCATAGTTTCTTTTAACATTTTCCTTGCCATTCTTCCATGGCACAGCTTCATATGTATAATGGGTACTGCACATCTTGCATCTAAATGGGTAGAGGAGTTGGAGGGAGGGAGAGAATTCAGAACTGGAAATAAAAATTTTAAAAAGTGTTTGCAGCAAGGTTCTCAGGTGAAAAAGGGTCCTGGAAGGTTTGAAGAGGGATGGAAAGGTTTGGAAGAGCTGCTATGTAGAATGAGATAGTGAGTTGATAAGGGAGATATAGTAAGATTGCTCTAGCTACAGTGAGGGCCCAGTTGAAGTTGTGTAACATAAATCTGTAGTGGATTCAGTCAGAACAGATGTACAATTTTCTCCATCTTGCTCAGTAGCACATGTGGAGGAGTGAAGATGTCCAATGGTGGAGAAGATTCAAAGCTGAGGCTTGGCTGGGCATAATATGCAATATGATAAGAAGAGTAGAGACACAAGAGAAAAGAATCATGTAAAGTTGAATTGGTTCACCAAGTAGTCAAGACAGAAAAAGAATAGAGGAGATGACCTGGGAGTTACCATGGAAACCAGAATGCTGGAACAAACCATTACTGTTTTCCTCTACATGATCTGTTCTCATTCCAGCAATATATTTTTATATTGTTGTGGTGGTGGTTCAATCATTTAGTCACATCTGATCACATCGTTCACGGAGTTTTTCTGGCAAGGATACTGGAGTGGTTCATCATTTCCTTCCCCAGTGGATTAAGGCAAACAAGAGGTTAAATGACTTGCTTACAGTAACACAGTTAGTAAGTGTCTGAGGTCAGATTCAAACTCAGATCTTCTTGACTCCTGGCCCAGTGCTCTATCCACTGAGCCATCTAGCTGCCCTGGATTGTAGGTGATTTAATTTCTTCTGCTACATTATCCATAAAAGTCAACAGTTTGTTCATTATGTCTCAAATATTCAACTTTTCTGTTATTTATCTTGAAAGCTCCCTTGGAATAGTATTCGTTAAAGTATCTAATTTATTTAGGAGATGTTAATTTTCAAAAAAGATTCATGTAAGCTCCTTGAAGAGAGGGGCTTTGTTTTTTACCTGCACCCTCAGCATCTAGCAAGTGCCTGGCATATTTTAGGTGCTTAATAAATGACTGTTAATTTGAATATGACTTCTATTTTAACTTGAATTTTCATTTCCATTACTTCTGTAGCCTTAGTGAATATCATATAATCCTTTAGTAATTACTATATATATTCACTGTTCTCTAGCTATGCTGATTTTATTTTCATATTTCAAAAGTGATTACAAGACTTCTGTTTTAAGTGTTAGATACTGTCCCTTCTAGCCATATTAAAAAAGTGCTGCCACCATCAGTGGAGGCCTGCATCACCTCACAGCCTGGAATACTGCAATAACCTGTTGGTTGTTCTCCCTGCCTCAAGTTTTTTACCAATCCATCCTCCAATTGGGTATCAAAGCAATCTTTTTAAAGGGCAAATCTGACTACATTACCCCTCAGCTCATTAAATTCCAGTAGTTTATGACTCATAGATTTTGCTGAACCTCTATTTCCAGCTGTTCTGAAATTCTTTGCATAAGTTCATTTCTATTTTGCTAAGTCTGCTATTGCTTGCTTCTGATGATTTTATGAGATTTCCTAATACAGCTTTTGTATTGGTCATTTTCTTATTTGTTTTAATGCATTCTAACTATCACTTGATTTTCTAGTGCAACTTTTAAAAAATTTTGCAAGATTTTATACGGTCTTTCAGTTTTTTTTAATTTTTCTTATAATTGCCAATTATAATTTGATACATATTATCCCCCAGATCAAATATACAATTCTCTGATTGGCTTGTTTAAGTCCTTCAAAACACAGTCCTTTCCTACCTTTCCAATCTTCTTAAACCTTTCTCCCTTCCACTTACTGTGACCCAGTGACACTACCCTCCTTGCTGTTCCCTGTACAAAATACATCATATCTCACATCTCCATGCATTTTCACTGGCTGCTCCATATGCCTGGAATGTTCTTGTCCTGGTTTCTCTGACTTCCTTCGGGTCTCACCTAAAATCCAACATTCTAAAACAAGTCTTTTCTAGTCCTCCTTAATTTTAGTGGCTTCTCTCTGAGATCATTTTTAATTCATCCTGTAATATGGTATGATATATAACATAATATGAAATTTTTATATAATATAAACATAGAGTTTTTATATGTTGTTTTCCTAATTAGAATGCAAATTCCCTTGAGGGCAGGGACTATTTTTTTCTTTCTTTGTGTCTACTGCCTTTAGAGCCTGGTACATATAGTAAGCCTTAATAAAAGCTTGTTGATTTGACTTGAGCATGATACAAAGGGCACTTAAGAGATGTTTTACTTGACTCTTTTGTCGATAATGCTAACATTTAAACTACTGAAGAGTGTCATCTTGGTTGGGAGCTGTTCTGAAAAAGTGACACTGCCACACAAGGAAGAATGGAAACCATAGGAGAAGACTAGATGCCCACAGAGAAAAAAATAGGTGGGTAGCCCCTCCTACCCCAGTTCCTAAAGTGCGTGATGAGCATGCTGATCCAAGGCCACGATCCACTCAAGACTCAAACTTATACAGAGCTTTTAGACAGAAAGCTGACATGGCACTAGTAGAAAACTGTCCAGTTACTGATAAGGCAAAGTAGTAAGTCTAGACTGCTAAAATCAGGATGTTCTCTAAACTGTCCAATAAAGAATAAGGGACAGGGACCCAGGACACTTAACTCTAACTGTGCCAAGAAGCATCTAGGGAAGGAGACAATACCCAGTTTCCTATACAAGTCAAACGTGCTTTCACCAGCTTCCATTAGCATGGAAAAGAATTCTTTCATTTTCATCATGAAAAATAAAAACATAAAATCTCTAGTTCTTAGGTTCATGCATACTTTTTTTTTAATTAAAGAACTAACTAGATGGTACAGTGAGTTGACAGTGTTGACTTCCTAGTTAAGAAGACATAAATTTTAATCCTATTCAGACATTTATTAGTCAAGTGAAACTAAGTTTCCTCATTTGTAAAATGGAGATAATAATAGTTCCTACTTCATAGGATTGTTTATCTAATGAGGTAACATATATAAAGCACTTTGCAAAACTTTAAGTGCTATATATAAGTGCTAGGTGTGTTATTATTACTAGGGTATGACTTTGGGCAAGTCACTTTTCAGTCTCAGTTTCCTCCTATGTGAAATGGGATTAAGAAAGACAAATCACAACTTATTCTGCTACTGAGATAAGACATTTTAATGTCGTCTTCAGACTCTGCAGTGAGGAAGTACCGCAGATGGCTTAAAGGTCATAATAACTATTTGTTTTATAGCAATGCCACAATAAACAAAGCCTTGCATTTAAAAAAAATCTCTTAAAGGTTACTTAGAGTAAATGTCTCCCTATAAAAGAGAAATTTTATCCCCCAACTTACAACTTACATTTATCCCAAAATGTTCAGTGACTCCTCGGCCATGTTCTCCTAGAACTCCAAATGAAAGGCTTTCCTCCAAAAAAATTCTTGCTTTGTACTTATATTTCAACTTGACCTAAAAATATTGTGAATGAATCACACATTAAAATTAATTTATTTTTGGCAATATATCTAAAACATTTTGAAAAATAAGGGCACCAACTTAAAAGAAAAATATTATTTTAGATACTATAAAAGTTCTATGAACTCTGACACTTAGCCTTTTTGATGAGTTTTGAAAACATCACAGACCAATTTCATTGTTTAACACAAAAATATGAGGAAAAATACAATTAGATTGCATTAGTGTAACTGATTTCTACCTGAATAACATTATGATTATTACTTTTTAAATACTACACATATTTATTTCAAGATCTCTATCATTATCTCAAGGAAAGATCTGCATAGAATCAACTAATAATCAATAGTTGCAGATGATTCCTTCAACTAGCCTGTTACATTGCTTTTCATTTGCTTTAAGTTAAACTTTTTAATCCTTACAAACCCTTGTTCATATTTAAATTTTATCCACACAGCCAGGAAAATCAAAATATGTTTATAAGATACACAATGATATATATAAGCTTGGGGAATGTGACAAATAGTCCTAAGATGACAAACTAACAGTCTGACATAACAGAAAACAAAGGGAGCTGCTTACCAATTCTGGAAGTGGACAAATAGAACCGGTATTCATATACAATCCTTCTACTACAATAAACCTCCGAGTTACACGTGCCTTACGAGGATTCTTCAAAAAAGAAAAAAATTAGTTCATTTAAACATGTCAAACAAAAGGAAAAGAAAATGCTAAGTACTCCCTAGTATTTAAATATTCAAAGTTCAAAGGAGAACCTGTTATCCTCTGTCTTTCAGAATAATATTTCTTAACAATAATGTCTGAAGGTTACAAATTCAGCTAAGCAATCCCCATTGAAGTATAACATTAAGAAGTATAACACCCCTGGCAAAAACAAAACAAACAAAAAAACCCCACCAAACCACCATAACTACAGGTTTCTGCTTCTCAAAGAAAAAACTAAGCAGAGGGGCAGCTAGGTGGCACAGTGGATAGAGCACTGGCTCTGAAGTCAGGAGGACCTGAGTTCAAATCTGGCCTCAGACCAAACACCTGACACTTACTAGCTGTGTGACCCTGGGCAAGTCACTTAATCCCAATTGCCTAAAAAAAAAAACCCAACAACAACAACAACAACAAAAATGAAGTAGAAATGCCTTATGGAACCAGCCAAATGAGCCTAATCTACCTTCCTTAAAATCTCCTGACAATCAATATGAAATAGGATCTGCCACAGTGGATATTTAGGGAGAGAACAGAGAGATATTCCACAGACTAGAGTTACAGAGCTTCACACAGCCAGCCACAGTAAAGGGAGAAATAGCAAACACAGGCTAATAGCAACAAAGGATGCCATTCTTTCCTATTTTCCACTTAGATTTAGTGTAATATTGAAGAAACTAGAGATAAGGATCACTGAACACTTGTTTGTGTGGCTGTAGTAATACGGGCATTAAAAACTATAAGGAGATGAGGTTTTCCTAATGGGATACTACAGGAGATGTTATTGTTCAGTCATGTCTGACTCTTCACGACTCAATGGACCATACTGTCCATGGGGTTTTCCTGGCAAGCATACTGGAGTGGTTTGTCATTTCCTTCTCCAGTGGATTGCAGAGGTTAACTGACTTGCCCAGGGTTACACAGCTAATAAGGGTCTGAAGTCAAGTTTGACCTCGGGTCTTCCTGACTCCAGGACCAGTGCTCTATCCAGTAAGCCATCTAGTTGCCTCTAAGAGATAGGAATGAATTAAAAGGAAAAACAAAAACAAAAAACAACAACTAAAAACCACGTTTGAGAATTAATGTTTTAGAGGAAAACACATTTAGTCCAAGGTAGGTTTAAAACCTGGATAAACTTCAATCTACTTTCAAAGGAGATCAAGCTGAAAAGATTGTCTCCTCCAAAAATAATGCAGCTTTTACTTAGGATTCAGAGTTAAAATTTAATAAAAAAAATTTTTTTAAAAATAAAACATATGCAGCAAAACTACGCTTGGCAGGAAAACTAGCTGTAATATCATTAATAGTACATATCAAAATAAGAAAGCTAAGAAGTAGAAAGTATTTTTTAAAAAATCAAGGAATTTTAACCTCTCTGATGTGGCCCTGTACAGACGCCATGTATTTCAATCAGTCAAAAGTCTGATGGGTGTCTGTGCTTCTTAGGGCACTAATTTAATACCTTTAATTTACAACAAATTTAGTAAGTAGAGAGGTGTACCTCTAAGTGAGTATTGTAAATTAGGGTGAAAGACAGATGAAAATTGATGGGTTCTCAAAGATGTTTTAATCATTTGTTTTATTTTTATTTATCAATATGGTAGTCTCCAACTTACCACATGAACTTTTATGTCCAACCTACATGGTGCCTGGTAGATATTTTCTCACTTCAAAATGTTTAGGTACACCAGCCAGTCCACAAAAGCCTAATAAACCCACCCTATATAGTTTCCATGGGCCTCTAATTGAGGTGAACTGGAGGCTCCAGGGACTAGAGGCAGAACAGACCTTCTGCCATGACCATAAGTCATGGATGCTTATTAGTAATGCTATTTTTTCAAATGCTTTTTTAATATAAGAATATCAAGCCTATAAAAGCCTCTTTTGAATTCCCATATTTATAATGCACTTTTGTATACCAAACCACACTTCTTGTAAAACATAGGATAATATACTGTTTTCCTAGTGCACCAAAAAAAAAAAAAGAGAGAGAGAGAAAGAGAGAAAAAGACAAACACACCTGGCTATACTTTTCCTTTGATCTGTTTCATTTTAAAAAAATTTAATATAAAATTTTTCTGAATTAGCTTTCCAATTCATTCCCAATGTAATTATAACAGCAGAATGGCATTTAAAAATCCAACTGGTGTGTCAATATTTAAAAAGCTGTATTAAGTGAAAAATGTCGTTAGTATGTAAATGAAGAAAAAGACCAAGTTTTCTTGACAAGTTGCCATCCAACAAATACTTTTGCTTCTTAGAAAGTGATAAAAAAAAATTTTTTTTCCTTCAAAAGAATCATACCTTTTGGTCTTCAATCTCTTGTTCTTTCAGTAGGTACTCCAGGTGAGCTATGTCATTATGCTCAAATACCTTAATGTCACTACGAGATGCTTGTAATCCCTTCTGAATAGCAAAGCAGGCAGCTCTATCTCTAAGAATAATAGAGACCATCCTTTAGATTGCCAGATTCTCAGAAAATAAAAATGAGTTATAGATTTTTTTAAATATGCAAAGCCACTTTAGCTAACTTAAATGACTTGCAAATTAAATGTTTAAAAGCTTAAAATAACACTAAGACTTTTGGGGACATCCTGCATGTTCATATGATTTCTTTCCCATGTAAAAACAATATATCAATGCAATTAAGAGAAAATATTATGGTAATTCCTAAAGAATGCAATGTATCATATATCAAGCTATAATGAAGCCCAAAGTGGAAATGAGGTATCCAGAAAAAATAAATGATCTATCAAGGAAAGTAATATTCTGTTACTGTAAAGATACTCTTCAAAATAAAATTAAAAGATAAAAAATATTTACTTCACTTTTATGAAAGATTTGTAATTTGGACAGATTTTTGGCCCATATAAAAAAATGGAGAAGCACAAATATAGTTTTTAAATGGACAAAGCATACAATCTGACAGATACTGAGACTGATAGTTAAGTTTTTGAATTTTAAGGTTTTGAATTTTAAAAAGAACTATAGCTTTCAGTAACAAGCCAAGTTAATTGCCACTAAAATATAGGAATCAGAAATGTCAAACACTAATGCTTAGACTTTCATTGATAAAATGTGAGTGAACAATTGGACGAGCAACTGGTTCTAAAACATTGCTTCCTGGTATTTTTTTTTTTTGGCTAGGCAATGGGGTTAAGTGACTTGCCCAGGGTCACACAGCTAGTATTATGTGTCTGAGGCTGGATTTGAACTGAGGTTCTCCAGGGCTGATGCTCTATCCACTGCACCACCTAGTTGGTCCCTTCTGCCATGCCCCCCCACCTACCCCAGGCTTACTAAAAAGGAAAAACCACCTAGAATGACAAATACATTTTAGTTTCTTGGGAAGGTGTTATAAAAATTATCCAAAAGATCCACTGTTTAATTACTGCTGCAAATCACCAAATCAACATGCAGAGGTGGTTAGCTGTACATTTTATTTATGCTCAGAGTGCAGGCTCATCTGTATGAAAAATCAGAGAACCCACAGTATTAGCTTCAGCAACCTTATATAGAATGTGAATATGCAAGCAGCACAGAAAAATGGAATTTCACAGAAAGCAAGAGGGAAAGATAAAGGTAAGTACATCAGAAGAGGGAAGATAAGGACCCCAGACAGCTGGCCAGAATGGAAAGCTGTGCTTCTGTTCCCTAATCTTGCCTCTGAATTAAATGTGATAGAGGTAGTATCCTTTTCTTATTATTGTGGCAACAAGAGCAGTGAGCCAGTTTTTTTCCTATCACAATCTCTCTTATCACAATGGCAACAAAAGGCCTGAGATAGAAGTGTAAATCATAAACACAATTTAAAGCAGTAAGTGTTATCAATATATCTCTTTCTCTACATATATACTAAATGCTGATATAAAAAATGAAGATGGTGATGGCAGAAAATTGAACATTTTTAAATGTTTTAAAACATATTGCTAATGTAATACTTCCAAATCTTTTTTGTTAAATGACACTTGAAAGGAATAATAAGTTTCTTTAATGAAGAAATCATCTGTATCAAAAGAAAGTTCTTCTATAATGAAATTCCAAGAGACTCAATTTTTTTGCAAAGAAATTTTCCTCCAAACATCAGATGAAGATTACTTACACAAATATAATATCCCCCCTTTTTGAATAAGCTGGAATAGCACTGGCAATTGTGGCAAATCCATATGAGTAAATAATAGCTTCCTCAGTCTCCATAAACTTTGCTAGACGTTCTTCCAATTCCAAATGAACATCTATTTTCAAACAGACAAAAAATATAAACGGTTAAAACGTTTTCTTATAAAAATACCACTCAAATATTGTTATTAAAGCTATGTAAACAATGTGTAAGCTCTGGAAGATTCCATAATACTGAAAAGATTTCCAAATTATCCCAGTAACAGATTGTATCTGTTTTCTGAGGACCAGACTACCTAAGCATGAAGAGAATTATCACCAGTAGGTGGTATACCATTAGGTCAAGAATTCTTTGGTCACGGCAACCTAGAAAACAAAGAAAAATGCATACAAAATGGTCCTCAGTACCTTGGAACCTCCAGAGATGCATTGTGCGATGGCACAGGCACACATATACAACATCTTATTGCCTATTAAGTCATAAGTTACAAAATAATATTAGGAAGGAGGGAAGGAAGGAAGGAAAGGAATATCAACACTGCTATTTCAAGAAGGAACTTTTCTTACAGAGAATGGGGACTGGAGTTAGGGCTATGGCCAGATAAAGAAGGGAGAGGAGAAAAGGAAATTCTTTCACTAAACTGAATAGAGTAATGATCAGATTAAAAAGGAGGAAGTTATTTTTGATTACTTCAGTTAATGAAAGTAATTCAACTTCATCTTTGACCAGGTAGAAAGAAGTATCGTTGGAAAACATCAAAGAGTCACATTCTCTCTCCTGAAAATACAATTTAATTAATAAAACTGTTTATGGCAGGATTGAGTCTAAAATGCTGAGTAAGGTTTTTTCAATAGTACTACTTTCTTCTACATTTTCAGTGATGTTATTAGAGTAGTAGAAGAGTGCAAGAGATGTCAAGAACTATATATATAGATTTTACACCATATATAAATATTAATATAACCATAGGTACATGGGAGAAACATATTTTAAAACATCCTTGAAAATATTAAGAAATAATATTTCTCTGGCCTAAAATCTCTTTTCAGAATTCCCTGTTGGAAGATGGGTTATCTTAGGGAAATAGATTTAACAGTAGTAATGAAAAGTTAAACCAAAGGGCACTTCTTTTCTGGCTAAAACCATACATATCCACTCCCAGAAGTGCATGGCCTATTATCTAAAGGCAGTCTTCTCTACATCTTTCAGTGAAAGGATTGATGCCTTTCTCCTTAAGGTGACCCACCCAAAATATGACCCACCCTTTAAGAAAGATTAGGGTATTGATCACAAAGAGGAGGTCCCTTTATTTACTCCAGGTGAACATCTGAGAGAAGTGTTCCAGGAAAACTAGTAACCACTGTTTTGGAATATTAATCCCAAGATGTATTTTAACAAATTGTGATCTTTTCCTTGTTCAAATTAACAGAAAGAGAAGACATCAAAGATATATGAATATTGGAAAACCCACTTGCTACATCAGTACCTATCCTGGTATCAACACTGTATTTGTCTCATAAAAAGAATTTGGTAGGATACCTAAACCAGGAAGATCCAAAACAGAGATTAAAAAAAATTATAGACCAATTTCCCTAATGAATGTTGATGAAAAAATTTTAAATAAAATACTAGCAAGGAGATTACAGCAATATATTATCAGGATCATACAATATGATTGGTGGGATTTATATCAGAATTGCAAGGATGGTTCAACATTAGGAAAAGTATCAGCATAACTGACTATATCAATAACAAAACCAACAACAACAACAAAAAAAACAACACATGATTGTATCACTATATGCAGAAAAAAAACTTTTGACAAAATATAGCAACAATTCCTATTTAAAACACTAGAGAGCATAGGAATAAATGGCGCTTTCCTTAAAATGATAAGTGGTATCTATCTTAACCATCAGCAAGCACTATCTGTAAAGGGGATAAGCTAGAAACTTTACCAGTACAATCAGGGGTGAAGCAATGATGCCTATTACCACCACTATGATTCAATATTGTACTAGAAATGCTAGCTATAGCAATAAGAGGAAAAAAAGAAATTGAAGGAATTAGAATGGGCAATAAGGAAACAAAACTATCACTTTTTGCAGACGATATGATGATATACTTAAAGAATCCTAGAGAATCAACTTTAGCACAGTTGCAGGATATAAAAAAATAAGCATTTCTATATATTATCAACAAAGCGCAGCAGCAGGAGATAGGAAGAAAAATTCCATCTAAAATAAACATACACAATATAAAATACTTAGAAGTCTACCTGCCAAGACAAATACAGGAACTCTATGAACAGAATTTCAAATCCCAGCTTTGCTACTGCCTGTGTGATCTTAGAAAAGTCATTTAAACTCTGTGAGCTTCATTTTCCTCACCTGTAAAATGAAAGTGTTAGACTAGATGATATCTAAGGATCCTTCCAACTCAAAAATCTGAGATGGGATTACTAGAGAGTCTGTGTTTTAGGCCACTGGATATTGGAGTAATTTGCCATTTGTTTCTCCAGTTCATTTTATAGATGAAGAAACTAAAGCAAACAGGGTTAAGTGTTCTTGGCCAGGGTTACACAGCTAGTAAGTATCTGAGGCCAGATTTAAACCCAGGAAAATGAGTCTTCTTTACTCCATGCCCAGCACTCTATCTACCCACTGTGCCAGATAGCTGCCCACACTAATAATAGACCTGAGTAAAAGAGAGAAATACACTATGCTTAAAAGTACCATAGATAATTAGTAACAATACTTAAGACACATAAGGTATATATTATATCAAAATGTATTATATTACATTATGGTATTATATATCACATCATATTTGTGATGAAGTGGGTAGCCAGACTCTAGACAATTTATGAGAGAAATGGGGGGTCCCGAGTATAGATAACTTTCTCAAGGAGAAAAGAACAAAGAAGAAGAGAGATATATAGAAGAAAGTTGATGGGGATGGCAGGACCAAGTAAGGATTTTTTAAGGATGGGAGATATGGATATTTTTATAGGCAACAGTGAAACAATAGATAAGAGTAAACTGAAGACGGGGTGGGGGGTATAAGTGGAGGGAAGATAAAAGTGGGGGCAATCTGTTGGTGAAAAAGGGATGGGATGATATCAATAATTTGTCTGGAGGGGTTGGTCTTAGCAAGAAAGGTCATATGACACCTAACTGAATAAAAAGACTAGTTGGAGAAGATATTTGAAGGACATAAGATAAAGAAGTGAGAAAGAAAAGATTTTGTTGAATGTATTCACTGTTTTCAGGAAAGTCAAGGTCCTCAGCTGAGAAGATGGAGTGAGAGGTATGCCATAGGAGGCTTGAGGAGAAAGAAGGTAAGAACAGTCTTTTGAAAGTATGACAGATCAAAACTCTTTCTGATTATATGAAGAGTTAAATTTCAATTCCTGTGGGGCAAAGGCAACAAGCACTTATCAAACACTTAGTATATACCAGCACTAAATAATGCATAATATAAAAGTCATTCATATTTGGTTTGGAAATAGTTGTGTACATATTCACACCCTGACTTCCTGGTCCCAACCTCTTCTTAACCTGAAACAACTCTTGTATTCTGAGGCTAAGCTAAGGAGTAGAAAAGAGAATAGATTCTGAGTCACTAGAGTTGACCATTTGACTACAAGCTCATAGACAGGAGAGAACGCCTTCTGCCTTTCTTTGTATCCCTACTACTTGAGCATAGTGATTGCCACATAGTTAAGTGCTTAATAAATGCTAGGTGACTGACTGACCTGAGATTCACTAAAAGATGAGGGTTATTGTAACCATATCTAGGCTAAAATGTTCACATACAACTTGATATTTGCCCCTACCATTAGATTAGAATATTCCAAAAATATATAACAATTATATGAGCTTTAAAAGTTCCAAGATAAAATAGACCAGGCAAGGGAAACCTCCAGCCTTAAGTTCCATGTGGCCTTCTAGGTCCTTAAGTGTGGCCTTCCGAACTGAATCCAAATCTTATAGAACAAATGCTTGCATTTTTATTAATACATTTTTGTCTTTTATATTTTTATTTTATTTTTTAAATGAACATACTTTTTTTAATATAAATTTATTTATTTTCAGTTTTCAATATTTACTTCCACAAGATTTTGAGTTCCAAATTTTCACCCCATCTCACTCCTCCCTCCACCCCAAGATGGCATGCATTCTGAATCCCTTCCCCTAGTCTGTCCTCTCTTCTATCTCTTCCCCCCTTCTCCTATCCCCTTCCCCTTCTATTTTCCTGTAGGGCAGGACAGACTTCTGTACCTCATTTCCTGTATTTCTTATTTCCCAGTAGCATGTGAAAACAGTTTTTTTCAACATATGTTTTTAAAACTTTAGGTTTCAAATCTTCTCCCTTTCTCCCTCCCCACCCACCCTCACTGAAAAGGCAAGCAACTCAATACAGGCTATACATGAGCAGTTATGCAAAACACTTCCATAGTAGACATGTTGTGAAAAACTAACTCTATTTCTCTTAATCCTATCCTGCCCTCCCATTTGTTCTATTCTTTCTTTTGACCCTGTCCCTCCTCAGAAGTATTTGCTTCTGATTACCCACTTTCCCAATCTGCCCTCTTCTCTATCATCCCCCTGCTCTCTTCTCCTCTTCTGCCCCTATTTTCCCATAGGGTAAGACAGATTTCCTTACCCAATTGAATGTGTATGTCATTCCCTCCACACAAGCCAAATCCTATGAGAATAAGATTCACTCATTCCCTCTCACCTTCCCCCATTTCCCCTCCACTGTATGAGCATTTTCTTCTCTGTTTTTTTTTGTGAGATAATTTACCCATTTACCTCTCCCTTTCTTCTTCTCTGAATATAATCTTCTCTCATGCCTTAATTTTATTCTCCAGATATAACCCCTTATTTCAATTCACCCTGTGCCCTCTCTCTCTCTCTCTCTCTCTCTCTCTCTCTCTCTCTCTCTCTCTCTCTCTTTCTCCATACATACATATAACTTTTTTCCTCCAACTATCCTAATACTGACAAAGGTCTCATGAGTTATAAATATCATTTTTCCATGCAGGAATATAAACAGTTCAACCTTAATAAGTCTCTTATGATTTCTCTTTCCTGTTTACCTCTTCATGTT